TTAAAAAAAAAAAAAAAGGAAGAAGAAGAAGAAAAAGAAAATTTCAGTCCTTGAGAGGCAAATGAAGATTTCAAACAGGTTTCTCCGCCTTGTAAAGAGACCTGCAAACCCATCAAACCAGCAGTTTCATTTCTGCTGGGTCTGCGCTCAAGCTCTTCCTTCCACGCTTTCTCAAGGAAGCTTGTTCATGCAAACTTCCGAAATCTGTTACCAAATATAAAAGTGCAATCCAATAAATAAGCAGATTTTTATAATCGGAACACAATGCACCTTGTAAAAGGATACAAAGTATTATTTTTGCTTGAATATTTTATTTGTTTCTGGAAAACATTTAGTTTCTCATGACAAACTTCCAGGACAAAAAGCACACTCATACACACAGGATAAGTACAGACTGTAAGAGAGACACGGAGACAATTTGTATCTAATGTCGCTTCCTGGTGATCTTCAGGAAGATTCAGGTGAACTGAATCTGAATCTCTACCTGATAATCTTCAGGTGAAGATGATCACGCTTTGGGAGGCCTAGGCAGGCAGATCGATTGCACCCAGGAGTTTGAGACCAGCCTTAGCAACATGGTGAAACCCTGTTCTCTGCAAGAAATACAAAAATTAGCTGGGTGTGGTTGTGCATGTCTGTGGTCCCAGCTACTTGGGAGTCTGTGGTGGAAGGATCACCTAATCCCGGGAGGTCAAGGCTGCAGGGAGCTGAGATCGTGCCACTGCACTCCAGCCTGGGCAACAGAGACCCTGTCTCAAAAAATTGAAAAAAAAAAAAAAAAAAGAGCTCGCCTGACCCCAAAGTCTACTATTTTATAGAAGTACAAACTGACTCATTAGGTTGACTATCTTCCTGGGTCTATAAAAAGATATACATGTAATCAGCAAAGACGTAAGAATCAGCAGTAGCTGATAAAGAAAATGTGGTACTGGCCAGGTGCAGTGGCTCATGCCTGTCACCCCAACACTTTGGGAGGCTGAGGCAGGTGGATCACCTGAGGTCAGGGGTTCAAGACCAGCCTGGCCAACATAGTGAAACCCCGTCTCTACTAAAAGTACAAAAATTACCCAGGCATGGTGGTGGACGCCTGTCATCCTAGCTACTCGGGAGGCTGAGGGAGGAGAATCCCTTGAACCCAGGAGGCAGAGGTTGCAGTGAGCTGAGATCACGCCACTGCACTCCAACCTGGGTGACAGAGTGAGACCATGCCTTCAAAAAAAAAAAAAAGAAAATGTGGTATATATACACCATGGAATTCTATGCAGCCAATAAAAATCTGAGATCATGTCCTCTGCAGCAAGATGGATGGAGCTAGATATCCTAAGCAAACTAACACAGGGACAGAAAGCCAAATACCGCATGTTCTCACTTATATGAGGGAGCTAAACACTGAGTACATAGGAACACAAAAAAGGCAACAACAGACACTACTTGAGGGTGGAAGTTGGGAGGAAGGTGAGAATCGAACAACTCTCTATCAGGTACTGTGCTTATTACCGGGGCGATGAAATCACCTATACATCAAACCCTTGCAACAGAAAGTTTACATATATAACAAACCTGCACATGTACCCCTGAATGTAAAATAAAAGTATTTTTATTGTTTTCAAGTTTTTCAGAGAAATAAGGAAACAGAAGAATGGCTACTCTGTAGAGCAAAGTTTTTTTTTTTTAAAAAGGTATAGATGTTATCATAACTGGAGCCATATATCTGTCTTTGCCCATGAACTTGTTTAGAATCCCAGCTGATATAGTTTAGATATTTATCCCTGCCCAAATCTCATGTTGAATTATAATCCCCAGTGCTGGAGATGGGGCCTGAGAGGAGGTGTTTGGATCATGGGGCAAATCCTTCATGGCTTGGTGCTGTCTTCATGACAGTGACTTCTCACAAGACCTGGTCATTCAAAAGTGTGTGGCACCTCCGCCACACATATGTTCTCTCTCTTGCTGGTGCTCTCACCATGGGACAGGCCTGCTCCCTCTTTGCCTTCCACCATAATTGGAAGCTCCATGAGGCCTCAGAAGCAGATGCCACTATGCTTCTTGTAGAACCTGCAGAACCACGAGCCAATTAAACCTCCTTTTTAAAAACAATTAATTACCCAGTCTCAGGTATTTCTTTATAGCAATGAAAGAATGGCCTAATACAGAAAATTGGTACTGAACAGAAGATTCGTACTGGAGTGGGTCATTGCTATACAGATACCTGAAAATGCGGAAGAGACTTTGGAACTGGGTAGCAGGCAGAGGTTGGAAGAGTTTGGAGTGCTCAGAAGAAAACAGAAAAATGAAGGAAATTTTGGAATTTCTTAGAGACTAAATAGTTGTAACCAAAATGCTGAAAAGGATATGAACAGTGGAGACCAGGCTGACAAGGTCGCACATGGAAATGAGGAACTTATTGGGAACTAGAGCAAAGGTCATGCATGTTATGCTTTAGCAGTGAGCATGGCTGCAGTCTGTTCATGCCCTAGGGAACGTCTGGAAGTTTGAGGTAAAGAGTGATGACCTAGGGCATCTGGCAGAAGCAATGTCTAAGTAGCAAAGTATTCAAGAAGTGACTTGGCTGCTTCTAATAGCCTGTGCTCAGATGAGGGAGAAAATAAATGATCTCAAGTTGGAATTTATATTTAAACAGGAAATAGAGTGTAAAAGTTTGGAAAATTTGCAGGCTGGCCATGTGGGAGAGAAAGAAAACGCTTTTTTGGAAGAGGAATTCAAGCAGGCTATGGAGCAACTACTTGCTAGAGAAATCTGTGTAACTAGAAGGGAGCTGAGTGCTAATATCCAAGACAGTGGGGAAAAGGCCTCAAAGGTATTTCAGAGACCTTCTTGGCATCCCCTCCTATCACAGGCCCAGAGCTCAGAGGCCCGAGAAGAAAGGTGTCATGGGCCAGGGCCCCACTTCCCTATACAGCCTTGGGACACTGCTCCCCATATCCAGGTGCTCCAGTTCCAGCTCCAGCTGTGGCTCACGGTGACCCACATACAGCTGTGGCCACTGCTCTGGAGAATGCAAACCGTAAGCCTTGGTGGGTTTCCTGTAGTGTTAAGCCTGCAGGTGCACAGAGTGCAAGAGTGGTGGTTTCTTGGCAGCCTCTGCCTAGATTTCAGAGAATGTATGGAAAAGGTTGGATGTCCAGGCCAAAGCCTGCTGCAGGGGCAGAGCCCTCACAGAGAACCTCTGCTAAGTGTGGAGAGAAAATGTGGGGTTGGAGGCCCCAAACAGAGTTTCAACCAGGACACTGCCTAGTGGAGCTGAGAGAAGAGGCCATCTGCCCAAAGACTTGGCAGCCCACTCCTCACATCAGCATGCCCTGGATGTGGGACATGGAGTCAAAGGAGATTATTTTGGAGTTTTAAGATTTAATGACTGCCCTGCTGGGTTTCAAACTTGTGTGAAACCTATAGCTCCTTTCTTTTGGCCAGTTTCTCCCTTTTGGAACAGGAAGGCTTACCCAACACCCCCACTATATCTTGGAAGGTTTTTTTATTTTACAGGCTCATTTTACAGGTAGGAGGGATTTTCCTTGTCTCAGATGAGACTTCAGACTTTTGAGCTAATGCTGGAATGAGTTAAGACTTTGGAGAACTGCTGGAAAGGCATGATTGTATTTTGCAATATAAGAAGGACATGAGATTTGGGAGGAACCATGGGCAGAACGATATAGTTTGGATATTTGTCCCCACCCAAATCTCCTGTGGAATGGTAATCCCCAATGCTAGAGGTAAGGCCTAGTGGGAAGTGTCTGGATCATGGGGGCAGGTCCCTAATGGCTCAGTGCTGTGTTTGTGATGGTGAGTGCTTACGAGATCTGGTCATTTAGGTGTGTGGCAGCCCTGCCTCCCCAACTCTCTCTCTTGCTCCTGCTTTCACCATGTGACACCTGCTATCCCTTTGCCTTCCACCATGATTGGAAGCTTCCTGAGGGTCCCCAAAAGCAGATGCCTCTATGCTCATTGTATGGGCTGCAGAACCATGAGCCAACTAAACCTCATTTTTAAGAAATATAAATTACCCAGTCTCAGGTATTTCTTCTTCTTTTTTTAAACTTTATTTTTATTTTTTAATTTTTTGAGACAGAATCTCACTCTGTCACCCAGGCTAGAATGCAATGGCACAGTCTTGGGTAACTGCAACCTTCACCTCCTGGGTTCAAGCGATTCTACTGCCTCAGCTGCCTGAGTAGCTGGGATTACAGGTGCGCAGCACCACAACCAGCCAATTTTTGCATTTTTACTAAAGAAAGACAGAGTTTCACCATGCTGGCCAGGCTGGTCTTGAACTCCTGACCTCATGATCCGCCCAGCTCGGCCTCCCAAAGTGCTAAAATTACAGGCATGAGCCACGTTACCCAGCCAGATATTTATTTATAGGAATGCAAGAACGGCCAAATACACCAGCTCTGCTATGTAGGAAGCTATGTGACTAAATCTCTAATCTCAGTGAGCCACAGTTGCCTCATTTGTCAACTAGTGAAATAGATCTACTTTACATTTGTGTATTAAATTAGCAAATGTAGATAAAGGTCTGTGTTCACTCCCTGAGTACAATACATGGTAGTTATCATGAAGAATAATATCTATGAGTACGCCCAGCCTTTCTCAAAAAGATAAAGCTATCTTATCAACTATTAAGAAGGGTCTCAGCTGGGCATGGTGGCTTACGCCTGTAATCCCAGCACTTAGGGAGGCTGAGGCGGGCAGATCATGAGGTCAAGAGATTGAGACCATTTTTTCCAACCTGGTGAAACCTTAGCTGGGCATGGTGGCACGCACCTGTAATCCCAGCTACTAAGGAGGTTGAGGCAGGTGAATCACTGGAACCCAGGAGGTAGAGGTTGCAGTGAGCCAAGATCATGTCATTGCACTCCAGCCTGTTGACAGAGCAAGACACTGCCTCAAAAAAAAAAAAAAAAAAAAAAAAAAAAAAAAAAAAGAAGAAGAAGAAGAAGAAGAAGGGTCTCAGATTTCCTGAGTTATCCTCCCTCATAGTCAGAATTGCCTGTCTATGCATTTTAAGAATAATCTTGGCTGGGTGTAGTGGTTTATGTCTGTAATCCCAGCAGTTTGGGAGGCTGAGGTGGGAAGATCACTTGAGCTCTGTACTTCAAGACCAGCCTGGGCAATATAGCAAGGCCTCATCTCTTGCTAAAAAATTTTTAAAAAAACTTAGCCAAGCATGGTGGCACATAACTGTAGTCCCAGCTACTTGGGAGGCTAAGAGGGAGGATCACTTGAGCCTGAGAGATCAAGGCTGAAAGGAGCTAAATGAGCTATGATCACACCGCTGCACTCTAGCCTGGGTGCCAGAATGAAATCCTGTTTCAAAAAAAAGAAAAAGTAATCTTGCTGTCTGGGGAATTCTATAGTAGGCGGTGTAATGTTAAGCAAATACCCTTGACAGTCACAGACTTCCATTATTTCGTTATTTCTTTTTGAGGAAGGATTTCACTCTGTCACCCAGGCTGGACTGCAGTGGTGTGATCATAGCTCACTGCAGCCCTGAACTTATGGGTTCAAGTGATCCTTTCACCTCAACCTCCTGAGTAGTTGGGATTACAGGCACACACCACCATGTCCAGTCATTTAAAAATTTTTTTGTAGAGACAGGGTCTCACTGTCTTCCCCAGGCTTATCTCAAACTCCTAGCTCCAAGCAATCCTTCTGCCTTGGCCTCTCAAAGTGCTAGGATTACCAGGCGTGAATCAGCACAACTGGCTGAGAGTCACAGGTTTCAGAAGGTCATCTGTTGACATACTGAAATGTCTCCCATAAATGGCACCGCGAGGCCTTCCTGCTAAGCAACCAACCTCTCCTCTGCCCAGTCCCAAAGCTCTCAGCCGTCATCCAGACATGCTTCTGTTGCCCCATAAGTTCTTCCCAATAAGCTATTTCCGGTGAAGAAGAACATCTACTCTCATCTTCTCTATCTTTGAAGACATCACGATGGGAACTGCTCTACCGTGGAAATACCTGCAGTTCCAGTTTGGGCCAGTTTGCAGCTTGGATCTGAATGTTTTCAAAACCTCAGCTCAGACAAGAGGGAAAAATTCTGTCTCCAAGCCTTGTCCACTTCAACTTTCTTGAAGACTCTGATGAAGAGTGAGAACAGGGTTATGGATGACCATCTTTTTGGTCTGACTTTAGCTGGTGAAGCTCACTGTACATATATGCAGGAGTGCCAGTAGAAGGGGTCTTTGCCTTGGCCCGGACTGTGCACAGGCTGGCTTTGAGCGTTCCATCTTCTTGATGTGAAGAAACAGCAGCAGAAGTCCTATCAGGTCAAGGGGTTGTTTCTATTTTTAAATGTTTGAGGGTTTTTTATATTTTTTAGTTGGGTCAAGAAGATAGTTTTAAATCACTATTTGGGAATAACAGCAGATGCTGTTGGACTGTAGACCACTTCCCCTCAGCCTGACTAGGGTTTCAGTTGCAGACAGAGTGGGCATTCTCCATGCACACAGGCAGCGCCCACCCTAGGCACCTGTGCAGTCCCTCAACTTTTCTACCTCGGGTTTTATTGGAAGCTTTGGTTGTTCACTGAGTCCATACACAGAGCAGCACTAAGTACACAGCGGTGTCAACACTCCTAATCACTAGAGGAAGAAGAAACGAGTGGGGGAAGTCCCCAGCCTCTGGCCCTTCAGAGGCACAATTCTGAGATGTATTCTACACAACTCTGCAGAAGGTCTCCAGCAGCAGCGAGCCTGGCTGCCTGCAACAGTGATCAGTGGATCGTATCCTTGCCTATCTCTTTTCTTACTCTCCCTGCTCCTGCACTACTTCCTAGGGTCCCCTTTCAAACAGCTGTCTATACCCAAGACCCAAGTCTTTCCCTCAGATTTTGTATTTGGAAGAACCTAAACTAAGACAACCATCAATGGGCATGTTAGGAGGTGGGATTGTGTTCTTTTTCTTTTTTTTCCTCCCTCTTTTTTTTTTTGAGACAGAGTCCCGTTCTGTCACCCAGGCTGGAGTGCAATGGCACAATCTCACTCAGCTCACTGACTCCCTGGTTCAAGCAATTCTCTTGCCTCAGCCTCCTGAGTAGCTGGGATTACAGGCAACTGTCACAACGCTTGGCTAATTTTTTTTAATTTTTAGTAGAGGTGGGGTTTCACCATGTTGGTCAGGCTGGTCTCGAACTCCTGACCTCAGGTGATCCATCCACCTCAGCCTCCCAAAGTGCTGAGATTATAGGTGTGAGTCACCACGCCTGGTCTTCTCTCTTTTTCAACCATGGGAGACTCAAAAGTCTTTGTTTCTGAATAAAAAAGGAAGTGTTTGGGGTTTTTTTTTTTAACATTCAAAAATAAAGTTGCTCCTGGAAAAAGGAACCTATCACTATGAAGAAGAGCTGTCCTTCATGCTGAAGAAGTGGGAATTCAGTTCTGACTATTCCCACTTAAGAAAGGTAAGCCTGCAGGCTGACTATTCATCTAGACCTGGACCTGGGTTGGGGAGGAGCAGCCTGGCTGATCGTGGTGTGTGTATTTCTTCTTCCCAGTCCTAGCGCTGGGGGTGGAGGTGGAATGTGTGATGGGAAAAGGCTATGGGTTGAGACCGAGACCAATGTTCAAAACAGATCATAGAGACCTGGGAAACCTGAACCAAGGTTGCAGAGTAAGAGAACAAAGCAGGCAAGACAGAGTTATGAAGTGGGAGGTGGTCTGGATTAATTTCAGGGACCAAGGGTGAAAGCTAAGGTAAGGCCTCCTCCCCTTTCCTGAGAAGTTTGCGAGGGTCCTGCCATGAAGCGATGCCCCTAATAATCCCAGTAGATCTAATAATAACAACACTTCCCCCAACTGTGGATCTATTTGTATGAGATGGGGAGAAAGAAGAAAATGAAGAGGAGGAGATGGGGAGACAGCAAAAACAAGCATTTGCGCCCAGTAAGAACACCTGCATTCCAAGGGCGTAATTTCAACACAAGGAAAGGAAGGATAAAACAAAAGATCGCCATGAGCAAAGGGGATTTCCAGGAATCAACAATAACTGAGAAATCAGTCACCTGCCTTCCTTCCCACTGATTTTATGAGGCTGTTTTTTACTGTTTCACTTAGATTTGTGGGTCTACAGAGAAGTTGAAGTTACAGTGTTTCTGGGAAAGTAATATTTTCCAGATGCTACAGCCACAGATCAATTATTATAATAAACCTTATTTTATGGAGCAGTTTTAGGTTCACAGTAAAATCACGTGGAAATCATAGAAGCATTCCAAGTATAGAGGCTTAGAGTGTAGAGCGTACCCCGTCCCCAAACAGAGACGGCCTCCACCCCATCAACATCCTGCAGCACACAATTTGCTACAATCCCTGCACCTACGCCGACACATCACTATCACCTTAAGTCCATAGTTTGCCTGAGGGGTCACTCCTGGTGCTGTATGTTCTATGGGTTTTGACAAATGTCTAATGTTACGTAATCCACAATTACAGTGTCATACAGAATAGCTTTGCCACTTTAAAAAAAATCCTCTATGCTCCTGCAGAGCACTTTTAATTCTACAAGAAAACTGAGTGGTCAGTTACAAGTACAATTGACAGAATTGGATGGTAAATACTTTGTACAATATATCAGAATCTCCTGGAATTGATAGCAGATTGGAACCCACCAATAAAGCTGCAGAATAAAAATCCTGACTGGGGCTGGGTGTGGTAGCTCACGCCTGTAATTCCAACATTTTGGAAGGCTGAGGTAAGAAGATCGCTTGAGCCTAGGAGTTCAAGACCAGCCTGAGCAACATACAGAGACCCCCATCTCTATAAAAAATACAAAAATTAGCCACATGTGGTATCACATGTCTATAGTTTCAGCTACTTGGGAGGCCGAGGCAAGAGGATCACTTGAGCCCGGGAATTGGAGGTTTCAGTGAGCTATGATCACACTCCTGTACTCCAGCCTGGGTAACAGAATAAGACCCTGTCTCAACATAAAAATAATTTTTAAGAAGAATCTTGACTGTACTTCAGTGCTCATATTCTCCAAAAGTGGACAACTTCTATCCCACTCCCAAACCAAGTCAAAAAAAGCCCACCAAAGACCCCAAGATTCTCCCAAACTGTAGGTCTTTATCTGTAATTTGTAATTCTACCATCTAATTCTAGTGCTTCAGTTCAATAATTATAATAGTAAGATCAGGCCAGGCGTAGTGGCTCATGCCTGTAATCCCAGCACTTTGGGAGGCCAAGGTGGGTGGATTACCTGAGGTCAGGAGTTCAAGACCAGACTGGCCAACATGGTGAAACCACATCTTGCAAAAATACAAAAATTAGCCAGGCATGATGGTAGGTTCCTGTAATCCCACCTACTCAGGAGGCTGAGGCGGGAGAACTGCTTCAACCTGGGAGGTGGAGGCTGTAGTGAGCCAAGATCGCGCCACTGCACTCCAGACTGGGTGACAGAGCAAGACTCCAACTTGAAAAAATAAAAATAAAAATAAAAATAATCAAATCAATGACTGTAGACTATCACAGGTATCTTTCTGCAAGGACAGGATGCAGTTTCCTGATAAAGGACATAACCTTTAATCTTAGTTAAAATCATTTCTTCATAATTCTGAGTCTTAAAATGCGTTTCTGCAATTTTAATTTCCAGCACCTGCTTTATGAGCAGACCATAGCAATTTAACTGCCAAGATCTGAAAATGAAACTCACCAAGTACATTAAAAAATTCTCAGAATCATTTGAAAAATTAGTTTTTTTGTGTGACACAGTCTCACTCTATCACTCTATCATCCAGGCTGGAGTGCAGTGGCACGATTACAGCTCACCGCAGCCTCAGCCTTCCAGGCTCAGGTAATCCTTCCACCTCAGCCTCCCAAGTAGCTGAGACTACAGTCATGTCCCACCACACCCAGCTAATTTTTTAAACCTTTCTTATAGAGATGAAGTTTCACCATGTTGCCAGACTGGTCTGGAACTCCTGGCCTCAAGTGATCCTTCCACTTCGGCCTCCCAAAGTGCTGGGATTACAGGCATGAGCCACCGCGCCAGGCTAACATATATCCTTTTTGTTTTCTCTTTTAATTAGCACATGACCTTGCATGAAAATTATTCTCCCTTTAAATTATCTTGAAGTCCTTAGATTACCATCAGTAAGTCAGGATGCCTCTAGGTCTGCACTCACCAACACAGTAGCCACAGGTTGGTTACTGGGCCCTTTTGTTTTTTCTTTTGGAGACAGAGTCTTGCTCTGTCGCACAGGCTGGAATGCAATGGCTTGATCTCCGCTCACTGCAACCTCCACTTCTGGGTTCAAGCGATTCTCCTGCCTCAGCTTGCTGAATAGCTGGGATTACAGGTGCCCATCACCATGCCCACCTAATTTTGGTATTTTAGTAGAGACCGGGTTTCACCATGTTGCCCAGGTTTGTCTCCAGTTCCTGAGCGCAGGCAATCAATCCGACTGCCTCGGCCTCTCAAGGTTCTAGGACGACAGGCGTGAACCACCGTGCCCGGCCTACTGAGTACTTGAAATGTGGCTAGTTTGAATTGAGATGTGCTGTAAGATACAGATCAGATTCAGGGATTTAGCCGGAAAAAGAATGTAAAACATTTCTGTAATTTTTTATATTGGTTACATGCTGAAATAATAATATTTTGAACATACTATGTTCAAGAAAAAAATATTTTAAAATCAATTTTGGGCTTAGCATGGTGGCTTATTAGCACTTTGAGAGGCTGAGGCTGGTGGGTCACTTGAGCCCTGGAGTTCCTGATCAACCTGGGCAACATGGCGAGTCACTGTCTCTACAAAACAAACAAAAAAATTGGCTGGGCGTGGTGGCACGTGCCAGTAGTTCCAGCTACTCAGGAGCAGAGGTGGGTGGAGGTTTCAGCCCAGGTGGTCACAAGTGATCACACCACTGCACTCCAGCCTGGGTGACAGAGCAAGACCCTGTCTCAAAAAAAATTAAATAAATTTCACCGGTTTCTTATGTTTTTAATGTGCCTACCAGAAAATTTTAAAATATTGGCTGGGTGCAGTGGCCCATACCTGTAATACTAACATTTTGGGAGTCTGAGGCAGAAGGATCATTGAGGCCAAGAGTTTGAGACCAGCCTGGGCAACATGAGACCTTACCTTCTCTACAAAAACATTAAAAATTAGCTGGGTGTGGTGGCTTACACCTGTAGTTCCAGCTACTCAGGAGGCTGAGGTGGGAGGATCACTTGATCCTGGGAGGTCAACACTGCAGTGAGCCAACTACACTTCAGCCTGGGTGACAGAGCAAGACCCTATCTCTAAAAAATAAAAATAAATAATTTAGAGGCATGATGGCACGCACCTGTAGTCCCTGTTACTTACGAGGCTAAAGTGGGAAAATGCCTTGAGCCCAGGACTTTGAGGTTCTGGTGAGCTATGATCACACCATGGCACTCCAGCCTGGGCAATAGAGCAAGACCCCATCTCTGGAAAGAGAAACGCATATCTGTGGCTCCCGTTGTATTTCTGTTGGATAGAGCTGCTGCTATTTATCTATACAGTAGGTACTCAGGAAGACATTTGTTGAAAGAAACATCAGGGGGCCTGTCTTTTGTTTGTTTGTTTGTTTTGAGACGGAGTGTCATTCTGTCGCCCATGCTGTAGTGCAGTGTCATGATCTCAGCTCACTGCAACCTCCACTTCAGGGGTTCAAGTGATTCCCCTGCCTCAACCTCCTGAGTAGCTGGCATTACAGGTGCCCACCACCATGCCCAGCTAATTTTTGTATTTTAATAGAGATGGGGGTTTCGCTATGTTGGCCAGGCTGGCCTTGAACTCTTGACCTCAGGTGATTCACCTGCCTCAGCCTCCCAAAGTGCTGTGATTATAGGCGTAAACCACCACACTCAGCTGGGCCTGTCTTGAGGTTCCCTTACAAAGCAAGTACAGCTTTTTCTTAGTGTGCATATTTGAGGTTTATCTGCAGGAGCTGCTAGAGGTAACTTATAGGGGAAGGTGCTAAAAGCCTTTCAAGAAACCTTTGAAATGGCCAGTCCCAGTGCCCTTTAGTATTCCACCATCACTGGAAGTTGTTTTCTTACATTTCCTTCCATTGGTAGCAGTGCACAATTCACAGTGTTTCTCTTTCAATCTTTTTTATTTATTCATTTTTTTGAAACAGACTCTTGCTCAGTCACCCAGGTTGGAGTGCAGTGGCACGATCTTGGCTCGCTGCAGCCTCTGCCTTCTGTGGGTTCAAGCAATTCTCCTTCCACAGCCTCCCGAGTAGCTGGGATTACAGGCATGCGCCACCACACCCGGGTAATTTTTGTATTTTTAGTAGAGACTGGGTTTCACCATGTTGGCCAGGCTGATCTTGAACTCCTGACCTCAAGTGATCTGCCCACCTCAGCCTCCCAAGTGCTGGGATTACAGGTGTGAGCCACCGTGCCCAGCTTCAGTATCTCTTTTAAACAGATTTAGTATATAATGTATATATCATAAAATCCAGTTTGGTGAGTTTTGCTAAATTTATTGTCGTGCAACCACCACTACATTTCAGTTTAAGATAATTTCATTACCCTAAAAACTTTCCTTGTGCCACTTGTATTCTATCCCTGTTCTCAGCAGCCACTAGGTAACCCCTGATCTGCTTTCTATGTCTATAGTTTTGCCTTTTCTGGAAACTCTGTATAAATGAGATCATACAATATGTGGGCTTTTGTGGCTTCTTTCACTTTAGCATATTGTTTCTGAGGTTCATTCTTATGCATTGTGTTTTTCTTGGCAGTCCCATTTTTCAGCCTACTTTTAGAGTAAGCAAAAATGAGTGGTAGAAAAGTTTGGGAAATTCCTCAGTAACTTGGTCTGAGCCTAGAAAGGTTGCCAAGTTTAATGAAAAACACACTTAAGTCCCATGTCACACTGGGATTGATTATAAGGATACTGCTCATCTCTCTTTCCAACTTGTTTTTAAAAGAAAATTGACTGTGTTGGCGAAAGTATTCACTTCCTCATTTTACCTTTCTGTTCTCGTCTATAAACTTACATAATTTATACATTATTTCCTCACAGCGTAGATACAAATGCGGCATTCTGTATTTCATTTTCTTTACCGTAAAACGTTTAAAAAATCATGATCATAAATTTGCTGACCAGCATGGACACTCTTACCTGGAAACTGAGCAGATGTAACTGCCTTTTATGGAATTTAACACCAGGACAGGCATTCATGTATTTAACGAAGTGCAAGCTCGTGTGACTCTACTTTATATTGAACTCTAACCAGATGAATTGAACATCCCATGATCCGAAGATTTCGAATTACAAGTCATGTTATTTGTTTAAATAACAGAAGAAAAAAAAAAGAAACACTCTAGAAAGTCCATTTTTCATGCTAATGAGCCAATACTAAAATAATGAGTATCTTCCGACTACCTTCCTCAAATAACTGAGGAATTTACCCATTAATAATATGTGGACTTTGAAGAGTGGGTGGCTGGAGTTTCTCATAAGAACACCCTTAAAGATTAAACCACACATAAATTGCTACAGGAATCACCCAGTGAAAATCAGACTGTGATTAGTAGGGATGGGGAAGAAGGAGAAGTTGAAAAACCCAGGCTGGGGTTAAACCTCTTTCAGTTATGTTTTTAATCAAATTAAGTCAAAACTAAGTTTCATGTCTCTTTTGTTTATTACTGACAGTTGTGTTTAGCTCAGCCACAGCCCCACTGAAGCACACTGTGTCAGCGCGCTGTCAGCTGTGGCCTTGGAAGACAATTGCTGTTCCCGTTGGCTTTTTCCCTCATATGCCTGTGTCCAGATTCAAGAACACAGCACTGAGCCTGTCAGAGGTATTTGAGAGCTGCCTGCTTGACTTTGGGAGTTACTACATGTAGAGAAAGGAAAGAAGATGATCTACAGTATCTTCAAACGCTTGAAGGCTTTGAGCAATGAACCTCCTTGGTGGCTGAGTGAATAATTCTATAATGAGTGGATGCTTTCCCAGAATAGTATTTTTACTTTTTTTTTTTTTTTTTTTTGAAATGGAGTCTTGCTCCTTTGCCCAGGCTGGAGTGCAGTGGCGCAATCTCAGCTCACTGCAACCTTCACCTCCTGCATTCAAGTGATTCTCCTGCCTCAGCCTCCTGAGTAGCTGGGATTACAGGTGCCCACCACCATACCCAGCTAATTTTTGTACTTTTAGTAGAGATGAGGTTTCATCATGTTTGACAGGATGGTCTTAATCTGTTGACCTCGTCATCTGTCTGCCTCGGCCTCCCAGAGTGCTAGGATTACAGGTGTGAGCCACTGTGCCTGGCTTTTTTTTTTTTGAGATAACTTCTTGGCTCTCTCACCCAGGCTGGAGTGCAGTGGTACAAACACAGCTAAGTGTAGCCTCAACCTCCCAGGCTCAAACAACCCTCCCACCACAGACTCCTGAGTAGCTGGGATTATAGGCATGCACCACCACAACCAGTTAATATTTTCATTATTACTATTTTTAGTAGAGACAAGGTCTGGCTGTGTTGCCCAGGCTGGTCTCAAACTCCTGGGCTCAGGCAGTTCTGCGTTGGCCCCTTAAAGTGTCAGGATTACAGGCATGAACCACTGGCCCAGGCAGAATAGTATTTTTAAGCGCGTAAAAGAAAATGCTTAGGATTACAAAGGAAACCAATTATACAGAAATGCACTTATTGAAATATTCCCCCAAACTGTGACACAGCAATACAGTGATCCTTTGGTATGCACAGGGAACTGGTTCCAGGACCCCGGAGTACACCAAAATGCCTAAACCTGTGCACACTCGAGCTCCGCAGTCAGACCTGCAGAACCTGCCGATACAAACAGGCTTCCATTTACAGGGGTTTGCATCTCGTCAACACCATATTTTCCATCCACAATGGGTTGTAAAAAGTCACGTGTAAGTAGACCTGTGAAATTCAGAGCTGTTATCCAAAGATCCAGCTGTATATACATCCATTCTATGGGAGGAATTACATGTTAGAATGGGCTCCATAGAAGTGTCAATTCTCTGTCTTTAGTCACTGACAGGAATGGGCTGAGTTGACCAAATGGCTGGATGTTTTCAAGACAGACATCCCTGGCTAGCTCCAGAAACCTGAACTACGAGGCACCCTCTACCTTCATAAACTTTCTGGGGGGTGTGTGTGTGTGTTTCCGAGACTATTTTGCTCTGTCACCCAGGCTGGAGTGCAGTGGCACCACCTCGGCTTACTGCAACCTCTGCCTCCCGGTTTCTCCTGCCTCAGCCTCCCAAGTAACTGGGATAACAGGCACCTGCCAAAATGCACAGCTAATTTTTGTATTTTTAGTAGAGACAGGGTTTTGCCATGTTGGCCAGCCTGATCTCAAACTCCTAGCCTCGAGTGATCTGCCTGCCTCGACCTCCCAAACTGCTGGGATTACAGGCGTGAGCCACTGCGCCCGACCTCACCTTCATTCACTTTCTAAATCAGGTTTGTGTTTCTCACCTGTTCTAAATCTTTCTGTACCCACCAGCCACTGTCCCTGATAGGAAGTGTAGGGTGTCCAAGATGATATTCAAAGCCCGTGCGACCTGAACCCAATAATTAACCTTACTGTTATGCCGAATTCCTATCCACTCCAATGGGGATAGCCCCAAGTTCAAGAGATGGAAGAAGAGACCTGGAGCCAGCGAATGAGACATGGGGTTTTACTGGGGCCTTCTACACAGGGGAAGAGGATCCAGTGGTGGCAGGCTGGATGAGAGAACCATCAATCACTTACAGAAAGCACATGGTTTATGTATCATTTTCACTTAGCACCCTCCCTCAATGACCTCCACCTGGCAACCTTCACCCATTCCCAAAACAAAGGGCCTTGATCCCTGTATGTCCCAGATCCATGGGATAGACTAGGGCTCAGATGTTCCTTAGAGATAAAGAATAAATCTCTGCATTGGCCATCCCTAGATTCCTTGGCTCGGAACTCTAAACTGCATTCAGGTGCATCTGCCATACAGGGTCCTTCTCAGGGTTTGCTGACGTTATTGCCAGCAGCTGAGTTTACCATGCACTTACCTCTAAGCAGTGCTTCCCATGTTCCCTACGTTCTAGTCACAGCAAAAGTCCTGCTTCCCTGCTTGTCCCATGCACTTTGCATTTCGGGGGCTCACTTCCCCTTCTGCCTGCAGTGAGTGAGGCCTCCAAGGCAGAGCCCTTCCCCTCAGCTGAAATGGTTTTCCAAGTTCTCCGACACTCCCTATCCCAGACAGAATTAATCGCTCTGAGCTTCCATAACTCTTCCCACGTGCCTCTACTCTAGCTGTAGTATACACATCTTAGTATAGTTGTTGTAAACATATATTAAGGCCTACGACATGAGCAATAGTTTATTCATCTTTTTTTTTTGACAGAGTCCCGCCCTGTTGCCCAGGCTGGAGTGCAATGGTGTGACCTCGACTCACTGCAATCTCTGCCTCCCAGGTTCAAGTGATTTTCCTGCCTCAGTCTCCCGAGTAGCTGGGATTACAGGCATGTGCCACCATGTCTGGCTAATTTTTTGTATCTTTAGTAGAGACGGGGTTTCACCATGTTGGCCAGGCTGGTCTCAAACTCCTGACCTCATGATCCAACAGCCTCAGCCTCCCAAAGTGCTGAGATTACAGGAGTGAGCCCCCGAGCCTGGCCTATTTTACTCATATTAAACAGGATAGGGCAGAATACCCAGCCCAGGACTTGGCTGGGCACGGCGGCTCACCCTGTAATCCCAACAGTGGGAGGCCAAGGTAGGCAGATCACTTGAGCTCAGGAGTTCAAGATCAGCCTGGGCAACGTGGTGAAACACCATCTCTACCAAAAATACAAAAATTACCCAGGTGTGGTGGCACGTATCGGTGGTCCCAGCTACTTGGGAGGCTGAGGTGGGAGGATTGCTTGAGCCTGGGAGGTGGAGGTTGCTGTGAGCTGGGATTGCACCACTGCATTCCAACCTAGACAACAGAGCAAGACTCTAAAAAAAGAATACTGAGCCCTTGATTGGGGTGGGGGGTGAGTAGTTCATTTGACACAAGTATGAGATGAGCTGCAGGGAGTGTCTCAATAATGACCACAGGTCTTTGTGAGTCTGGTAACAGTCTTCACCAAAATGGAAGACTTGTGTTTATTTTTTAATATCATGTATTACTGGCTATCTCTTTCATATGTATTAATGATATTGAAATAATGTTATCGGCTTTGCCCAGATTTTTAAGTAAAATGGACATGCCTTAACAACCTGTTTTCTTTCTTCTGCGGCTTCTTATACCCTCTGGCCTGCCAATAATCCCGTGGGTACAGATACCCAGGCTAAGATGCAGGAACCTAGCGGGTTCTTCTTCCTGACCCTGGAGGTAAGGGCTTTTGGTTGGCTTTAACTAAAAGCCCCAGGAGAATCCTCCTGATTGCTTGAGCCCAGGAGTTCCAAATAAGCCTGGGCAACATAGTGAGACTCTGTTTTTACAAAAATATACATATTTCTTTTTAATAATTTTTTTTTTTTTACTAGAGATGGAGTCTCACTATGTTGACCAGGCTGGTCTCAAACTCCTGGCCTGAAGCGATCCATCCATCTTGGCCTCTCAAAGTGCTGGGATTACAGGCATGAGCCACCATGTTCAGCCTATAATTTTTTTTTAAATTAGTCAGGCATAGTGGCACGTGACTGTAGTCCCAGCTACTCAGGAGGCTGAGGTGGGAGGATGGCTTGAGGCCAGGAGGTGGAGGCTGCGGTATCCTGCGATCCCAACACTGCACTCCAGCCTGGGCATCAGAGTGTGAATCTGTCTCAAACAAACAACAAATTTTTTTTTAAATCAACAAATGTAAAATTTGAAGGAAAAAAAAGGAAGCCTCCTACCTCCTCCAGGCTGCTGCATACTAAATACGCAGCTTCAGGCAAGACTCTGCCTCCAGTAAGGAGTTCAGATGAACAAGGATTCCATTTTGTTTCCCCTCAGACACACTTTGTCATCACTTAAAGCCTATCCGTTTTCTAACCTTTCTCCAAATCCTTTTGGGGATGACTCATTCTGTGAAGTGAGCTTGTCGGGAGTTTTCCATCATGTTCCTTTGTGTTGATTATTTTCATAATTTTTTCATTGTTGAGACTTTATCTTCCCTGACATGCAATTTCCTTATTGTCCTTATAGGACAGACCTCTCTCTTCTTTGCCCAAAGAGGGCTGAGCAAGTGTCCAAGCTCCTCCCTTCTGTTGTTCATTTTTCTCTTTTTCTTTTTCTTTTTATGGAGAACAGGGTCTCACTGCAACCTCCACCTCCTGGGCGTAAGCAGTCCTCCCACCTCAGCCTCCCAAATAGCTGGGACTACAGGCATGTGCCTCCATGTCCAGCCAATTTTTGTATTGTTTGTAGAGACAGGGTTTTGCATGTTGCCCAGGCTGGTCTCAGGCTCCTGGGCTCAAGCAAACCTTCTGCCTTTGCCTCCCTAAATGTTGGGATTACAGGAATGAGCCACTGCACCCCCCCTTCTCTTCTGTTTGAGTTTGATCTACCTCTGTAAATTTAGGCTATGGAGCTGGGGAAAGAGAATGGATTTTTGAGTCATGCAGACCGCTTTCAGTCCTAGCTCTCCTACTGACTAGATAACACTAGGCCAACCATGTAACCTCTCCCAGTCTTAATATACTCATCGATGAAAAGCAGAACAACCATTTCCCAGGCTGCTGTGAAAACGGAAGGAGGTGAGGTATGTAGAAGCATCTTAATTAGTATCTGACACAGAGAAAATAATCAGTGTAAATTTTTGCTTCCTTTTAAGAGAAAGGAAGTAAAGTTCTGTGGTCTACAAACTAAGGGTGGCGTTGATGCCCACTGAAGAGCCACTCATGAGGAAATGTGCAGATAGCCACTCCCCACTGGAGAGTATGGTCTTGACTTTTGCCTCAGTATCTCCAGCTCCTACCCATCATAGGATGTAGCACAAAGTGGGAATCCACCAATTGTCTATTGGATGAATAAATGAATACATGAATGAGTGAAAACATTTCTCTAGACTAGCAAAGGATCTGAGATAAGTTACGTCAAAGGAATCAAACAGGCCGTAATATGTGAAACTTACCTCCATGAATCTATCTGATCCCCACACCTCTGACACTGTATAATAGTTTGTCATGAAAGTCTGCCATACTGAGGGAGGGGGTCATGCACGAGAGCAGCACTGGCCTTGAGAAATTCAAGCATACCATAATGCAAGAGCAGGTGGGCTGAGCAGATCACTTGCATGTAGGAGTTAATTGTTAGGGCAGTCAGGAGTTAGCAAGGAAGGCATGAGAGGGGTTGCCCTGTAATTACTATTGTCTCAGCATAAATGATTTTTTTCTGGCAAGTAATTGCTGTGTATCGGGTTGCAGCGATAGGTTCTGACGGTGGAGATGTCTTTGAGGAATGACTTCGATGAGTAAGCACAGCCTGGCATCACCAGATGGTTCGCTGCGGCTCGCCGTCTCTGGCCTCAGCGGTAGCCTCCTAGCCAGACCCCTGCTTCCACACTTGCTTCGTCACAGTCCAGTCTGGTAGCAACGAAAATTGACGCTAGATGTCTAAACAAAATGGGAACTTACTGGAAAGATTTAGAGACTCAGCATTCCAGGAGAAACTGGCATGAGCAAGCCAAGGAAGTAAGGAAACGCAGGGCAGAGTAGGTGAACCATGGGGGATCTAAAGGCATGCCAAGAACATTTGCAGGAGCAGGAAACCCATCCCTGTGTTTCCCAGGCACGCTAGGTGGGCCCCTGCCTCCTCTCTTCCGTTCCTTTCAGAGTTGAGAAAGGGCAAACTTGTCTAAAGCAGCATATCCATGGATTAAGGAAGTAGCACCGTTTCCTCTGCCAGCTCTGCTTGCTGAAAGATGAGGAGGTGACGATAACATCTTCGTCATCTACCTACAAAGGTCATGATCGAGTCTAGGCCTTGCCTGGAATACTGGGGGATAAGACTAGGTTAGACTTGGCAGTAAAGCAGGTGCCACAAACTCACATGCTGTAGGGACCAGCGGGGTCAGGGAATAGGTGCAGCCAGCTGGGTGAAAAACAATACAGCATGACGATGCCTGTGCTGAAGTGGAGAGCCAGCCTACAGAAGGCATCAAATCCTAAACATTTGTGATATGATAATGTGGTTTTACTTTTTTTTTTTGAGACAAGGTGTCACTCTGTCACCCAGCCTTGAACGTAATGGCACAATCACAGCTCGCTGCAGCCTCAAGCATGCCCCTGCCTCAGCCCCCTGAGAAGCTAGGACTACAGGCACACAGTATGACACCTGGCTAAATTATTTTATTTTTTTGTAGAGGTGAGGTCTCCCTATGTTGCGTAGGCTGGTCTCAAATTCCTGAGCTCAAGTGATCCTCCCACTTAACCTCCCAAAGTGTTGGGATTACAGACATGAGCCACCACGCCTGGCCTGGTTTTACTTCTTTAATGTATTAACAGAATGGATTCGTTGGTGAATTTCCCAATTTTGAATCAGCCTCTAGTGGTGTGCTATAGCTGGCTCTTACCAGGTGACAGCCAATTATTAAATTTTCAGGAACTTTTTAAAGTCATTGATGTCATGCTGGTAGCTTAAAATTGGCTGTGATGGGAGTGTTTACGCCATGGGAACTGGCAAATGCTATAAATTGGGGCTGTTTTCTTCCTTCTCAGAGAGCTAGTTGTGAATCCAGCATGCTACTGCTTGTACTCCTGGAATAAACTGTGCTTGATCTTGTTGTATTATTTTTTCATTGCTGTATTTTACAGCAATATGTTACTGTAATTACTGTGTTACATTGTTCGCCAGCTTTATTTCTTAAAGCCTTTCCTAATTTTCGTATGGTCCAGTTTAAGTCTCTGCTTCTTAATTACCTAGGGAGTATTGTAAAATGCAGATGCCTATGCCATGTACCTGACGGATAATCAGAACCTCTGAAGCTGGAACCCAAATACTAGTACTTTTTAAACACTCCATAGGTGATTCCCGTGTACAGCCAGGGTTGAGAACTAGTGGCCTAGGCCAGTGCTTGTCAAACATCAACGTGCGCGCAGATCATCTAGGGATCCTGTTAGTATGCAGAGTCTAATTTAGTAGGTCTGGGGCGAGCCTGAGATTCTGCATTTCCAACAAGTTCCCAGCGATGCCACTGCTGCTGCTGGTCCATGGACCACAACTGGGGTAGCAAGGATTTCAGTTAACACTGTAATTATCCATGCTTTAAAGGTACATCAAACTCAGCTATTCAGCCATTTCATCCTGGTACTTTTTTTAGCATCCAATCTTATTACACCTTTCCATCTCTTATGTAGAACTTAGTCTTTTTAAATTTTCCTCTGTCAATTCTGGTATTATATGTTTTGTAAGAAATCTGTTTCTCTTGGTTTTCAAATATGCTGTCAGAGTGATATTCAGTAACTTCTTACTATTCTTTTAAATTCTCTCACATCTGCAATTTTTAAGCGTTCAAATTCAAATTTCAAAAAAATATTTGTCAGGTGCAGTGGCTCACACCTGTAATCCCAACACTTTGGGAGGCTGAGGTGGGCAGACTGCTTGAGCCCAAAAGTTGGAGACCAGCCTGGACAACATGGCAAAACCTCATCTCTACCAAAAAATGCAAAACATTAGCCGGGTGCAGTGGCACCGGCTTGCCAGTAGTAGTCCCAGTTACTTGGGAGGCTGAGATGGGAGGATTGCTTAAGCCCAGAAGGTCAAGTTGCAGTGAGCCAAGGTCACACCACTGCACTCTACCCTGAGCAACAGTGAGACCCTGCCTCTTAAAAAAAAAAAAAGGAAATTGGCCGGGCATGGTGGCTCATGCCTATAATTTCAAACTTTGGGAGGCTGAGGCGGGCAGATCACCTGAGGTCAGGAGTTTGAGACCAGCCTGACCAACAGGGAGAAACCCGATCTCTACAAAAAATACAAAATTAGCTGAGCATGGTGGCACATGCCTATAATCCCAGCTACTCCAGAGGCTGAGGCAGGAGAATCACTTGAACCCAGGAGGCAAAGGTTGCGGTGAGCTGAGATCACACCACTGCACTCCAACCTGGGTAACAAGACCAAAACTCCATCTAAAAAAACAAAAGAAAGAAAGAAATTAAGTCAACCAAACCAAATATCTGTGGGCCAACTGTCCCACAGATACTTATTTTTTTTTCCACTGGCTCTAGGTTCCAGCAGGGTTCAGTTTCTGGTGAGGACTCCCTGCCTGGCTTGCAGATGGCCACCTTCTCACTATTTCCTCACATGGCATTTCTTCTGAATGCACGAGCAGGGAAAGATCTCGTGTCTCTTCTACTTTTTGTTTTTGTTTGAGACGGAGTCTCGCTCTGTTGCCCAGGCTGGAATGCAGTGGCGCAATCTTGGCTCACTGCAACCTCCGCCTCCTATGTTCAAGTGATTCTCCTGCCTCCGCCTCCTGAGTAGCTGGGATTACAGGTGCCCGCCACCATGCCTACCACCACACTCAACTAATTTTTTAATTTAGTAGAGACACTGGTCCACCATATCAGCCAGGCTGGTCTCAAACTGCTGACCTCAAGTGATCTGCTCACCTTGGCCTCCCAAAGTGCTGGGATTACAGGTGTGAGCCACTGTGCCTGACCCCTTCCACTCTGGTAGGACACTACTCCTACCAGATCAGGGCCCATCCTTGTGACTTCATCTCATTTGACCTTAATTACTTCCTTCAAAGCCTTATTTCCAGATACGGCCACACTGGGGGTTAGGGCTTCACCATGTGAATTTGGCTAGGGGGGTGGGCGGTGACAAACATTCAGTCAATGACCTTCAATTACAGCAGTTATTTCACCTGCTGTTAAGTTGTTGCTGACTCCAGAAGACTCTTTACTACAGAGCTAATCCCGGAATCCTTTCAGAGCTGGACTATGCTTAACAACTATGTGATTCAATCACAGTATTTTACACATGGAGAAACTGAGGCCCAGAGAGGCACATCATTCACCCATGCAGAGTGGAGAGGTTATGACTAGAACCAGGGCGTCTAGGCATCCAATCAGAGATAGAGGGTATATCACCCCTTTTTACTACCACACCTCCTCAATTCAATAATTCAAGCACAGTCACTGGATGTGAACGATGTGCAGGATGGTGCTTACCTGGCACTCAAGGTCTTCTATATTCAGACCATTTTGTGATGTTCACAGCTTTTCTCCACAGCCCTGGGGGAAAGTGATGCTGTTAAGAAACCAACGAGGCCGAGCGCAGTGGCTCAAGCCTGTAATCCCAGCACTTTGGGAAGCAGAGGTGGGTGAATCACAAGGTCAGGAATTTAAGACCAGCCTGGAAAACATGGTGAAACCCCATCTCTACTAAAAAAAATAAAAATAAAAATAAAAAAAATTAGCTGGGTGTAGTGGTGGGTGCCTGTAATCCCAGCTACTCAGAAGGCTGAGGCAGGAAAATTGTTTGAAATCTGGGAGACAAAGGTTGCAGTGAGCCAAGATCATACCACTGTACTCCAGCCTGGGCAACAAAGTGAGACTCCATCTAAAAAAAAAAAAAAAACCAACCAATGATTGTAGGAAGCTTCTGGAACCCCACACTGGGCTAGAGAGACAAAAAAGAGAACAGTTTTCACCCAGAGCCCGTGAGCATGAGCTTACTCACAATAAATGCATCTGTAGCGTTGCTGATACTTCCACTATCATGATGATCACCGCCTTTCCCACTGGGCAGGAAGCCAAGCGTTCACCTGTTTGTGCTATTGCAACAGCCACCAGAGCCACCCCTGCTGCCCTCACCCCTGCACCCTAGCATTGCAGGGCCCACAGCTGCCTACCATACCCACTGATAAACATCATAAACAGAAAAAAACGGCCTCTCCCTCCCACCTTCCAACCAACTTCACATAAGTGCCTTCCACTAGCAGAACTTACCTGGCAAGGAACCCAGCTGACCAGGAAGTTTGGGAAATGCAGTTTCCAAGCTTCTAGCCCCTGAGTTCTAGAGGAGAATGTGGGCTGGGTGTGATGACTCACGTCTGTAATCTCAGCACTTTGGGAGGCCAACATGGGAGGATCACCTTGAGCCTAGGAGTTTGAGACCAGCCTGAGCAAAATAGTGAGACCCCCATCTCCAAAAAAAATAAGAGAATGTGGACAGGCAGGAAAAGCCATAGACAATCTCTAGGTATAGTTACTAGGAGGAAGTGAACAGGCAAGAATGTGGTACCTGAAGGTGAAGTTTTAGAATTCCGACATGTCCCACCAAGAATAATCAGCAGTACTGGGGGTGTCACAAATTCCATCTGGAAGAGACTTTTTTCCTCTGGTTTTCTCAACAAAACTAGCCCAGAGGAGAATTTGCTCTCCTGCCTCAGAGGAACAGCTGAAAGAAGCTGAGTACCTCCTCTAGGAAGTCAGAAAATTCTGCTCAAGCCGAGGAGCCGAGAAGCCCAGAGGCGCCGCCGTTCCACACTCAGGCCAGGAGCTAGATTGGTCAGCTGGAGCCGCCATGACAAAATGCCTTTAACAACAGAAATTTGTTTTCTCACAATTCTGGAGGCTGAAGTCCAAGATCAAGGCAGGTTTGGCTTCTCCTTAGGCCTCTCTCTGAGACGTGCATGGTCTCCTTCCTGCTGCGTCCTTGTGTGTATGGCATCCCTGGTGCATCTTCCTCTTCTATAAGAATGCCAGTCCTGTAGGATTAGGACTCCACCCCTATGGGCTCATTTAATCTTAATTATCTCTTTAAAGGCCTTATCTCCAAACAGAGTCATGGGGGATGGGAGGTTAGGGCTTCAATTTAGAACAAGGGATACAATTCAGTCCATAACAGGAACTGAGTTGATATCTGTTAACTCGGAGAATAAACAGACCTCACGTTTTTATTTTTATTTTTATTTTGAGCATCTCTCTCTGTTGCCAGGCTGGAGTGCAGTGGTGCCATCTCAGTTCACTGCAACCTCCACCTCCTGTGTTCAAGTGATTCTTGTGCCTCAACTTCCCAAGTAGCTGGGACTACAGGCATGCGCCACTACTCCTGGCTAATTTTTGTATTTTCAGTAGAGACAGCATTTCATCGTGTTGGCCAGGCCAATCTTGAACTCCTGACCACAAGGGATCTGCCTGTCTCAGCCTTCCAAAGTGCTGGGATTTCAGGTGTGAGCCACCATGCCCATCCCAGATCCTAACTTTTAAGCCCTGGTCAGGAATATGCTGAGTCATCCCTGACTCCCACCTCTAGTTTTAATTTACGTTGGTTTGTTCTTCCATTTACTCACACCACAAATATTTATTGAGTTCCAGTTTTGTGCCGGGCACTGTACTAGCACTGGGGACATGGGTGTTGACACTGGGCAAGTGACTACAGTGAAATATGACAAAGGCATGCTCACAGTGCTGCCTTTGGTCAGGCTGTTGGTGGGATGCACTGCAGGCAAAGATGCCAGACAAGGCTTTCTAGAGGACGTGGGATGGGAACCCAGTTCCAAAACCTGAGGCAGAATTATCCGGTTGTGGAGAGGATTTGTTTAATCAGTGGGCCTTGGGAGAGGTTCCTATTTGCCTAGACTTGTACAGGAGAGGAAGATAGGGTTTATGTAAAACTTTTCTACTCCAGGTGTGGCCCACAGATCAGAAGTATTAATTAGAATCAGCCGGGAGCTTCTTAGATTGACTCACTGACTCGCAGAGTCCATCCCAGACTTACTGAATTAAAAGCTACCGTTTAACAAGCTCCCCAGGGCACAGGTGGACATTAAAATTTGGGAAATGCTGATGCAGTGAAATCCTATTGCTTCACAGATGGACAAACCAAGGCCCAGAGAGAGCAAGGAATTATTTTAAGATAATGCAGATAACACAGCATTGACAGGAAAAAAAAAAAAGTCTTAAATCCACCTACAGTTTGCCTACAGCCTGGCCAACATGGTGAAACCCTGTCTCTACTAAGTTGGGGTTGGGCACAGTGGCTCACGCCTGTAATCCCAGCACTTTGGGAGGCTGAGGTAGGCAGATGAAGAGGTCAGGAGATCGAGTCCATCCTGGCAAACATGGTGAAAACTCATCTTTTTAAAATGCAAAAAAATTAGCTGGATGTTGTGGCACATGCCTGTAGTCCCAGCTACTCGGGAGGCTGAGGCAGGAGAATCACTTGAACCTAGGAGGTAGAGGTTGCAGAGAGCTAAGACTGCACCACTGTGCTCAAGCCTAGGTGACAGAGTGAGACTCTGTCTCAAAGAAAAAAATCTAAATTCGACACCCTCCTCCAGTCGGACGGATTGACACATTTGGCAGCAATCCACCTACAGCCTGGCCAACATGGCGAAACCCTGTCTCTACTAAAAATACAAAAAATTAGCCAGGTGTGGTGGCAGGTGTCTGCAGTCCCAGCTACTCGGCAGGCTGAGGTGGGAGAATAGCTTGAACCTGGGAGGCAGAGGTTGCAGTGAGCTGAGATCGTGCCATTGCACTCTACTCTGGGTGACAGAACGAGACTCTCAAAACAAGGCAAAAATACCCCAAAGCAGTGTCCAACATGCAGTCATAGATAACTCATAGAGTACAAGATTGGCAATTGGCAGAAAAAAAAGACAAATATTAGGAACAGATTTGCAAAGAGTTAAAATATTGAATTATCAGATGTAGACTTTTAAACAAATAGGCTGAATTTATTTTATTTCATTTATATACATAGATTACAATTAACCTTGTGACACAAAATTAACTCATAGGCAGTGTACCCAGAGTCAGCCCGAACTTTTTTTTAAGGCAAACTTGTCGATGTCTTCAATGAATTGAAAACTATGAAAAGCAATGTAGTCTATTTTTAAAAGAACCAAATAGAACTTCTAGAAAAAATGTAATAACAAACATATATACATGTGTACATACATCTATAAATGCCTACCTACATGCTAACTTCAGCGCATAGGTTTCACGACAAAAAAATATAAAACTGAAGAGTGAAGTAGAGAATAGGGAGACAGGGCTGGAGAACCTAATTCTGATGCAGGATAGCGAGCCCCAAAATTGAGGTTTAGTACTGAAGGTTGTCAGCCTCACCAGGGAAGAATTCAAGGATAAGCCTGTGGTGTTAAACAGCAATCTTACATGAATTGTACCTCTCCTGGCAGAACAGGGGTAACTCCTAGGCAGTGAGCCCAGAGTCTGCAATGTGTGGGATGTTGGCAGCTCTATTTATAGCTACTTGTACCCACTTTCAATTACTTGCAAATTAAGGGGCAAGTTATTTAGAAAGAGCTAGGAAGTTACTACCCCTTTGCATGACAATGACCCAGAAAATTAGTCCTCATGTAAAGGGGCAGTAACTTCCGGGTCGTTGCCATGACATTTATAAACTGTCATGGCGCTGGCGGGCGTGTCCTATGCTAATAAGCAACGAGGGCGGCTAGGGATTGCTTTTGTCGCCATCTGCTGGTTTCTGCCTGTTTCTTCACTTCATCCTGTGTGGACCATCTTTTGGTCAGCACAGTTGTGACCAGAAGACACGTCCTGCCGGTCTCCTTCCTCATTTCCAAGAGACAAAAAGATAGAATGTGCAGAGAAATAGAAAAAAGGCTTCGAAAACATTTTAAACATCTAATGAACATTTTGTTAGAGACCCAGAAGGAGGAGTGAGAGAATGGGCAATGACGATGCTGAAGATGGAGTGGCTGGAAAGGGGACCTTCACGGCACCACCCATGCTGTAAAGAGACAGGGGTGGTCGCCATGCTCCTGCAACCCAGTGGGTTCCTTCTTGGAATCAGAGAATCGAAATAAAAGGGCCGAGTTCCATCTTCAGTCTCATTCTTGGCTTCAATATTTCCCCTCCAGATGTCTTTTACATCTATTTCCAGTAGGTCCTTATTCTATGTGAAAAAATTAAAAATCCGGTGTTTATTTTGGATTTCAAAGACACAGCAGGCACAGTCCCTAGACAAAAATGCATAACTCAGTGCTCAAGAAAGAGTTTTGCTTTTCCTGGCACTGTGGATGTTAGAGGCACCTGGGCCAGGGAGCAGATCTCTCTGGAGTCTGAGTGGCAGGTCTGCTGGCCGCAATTGTGTGGTTTGTGCACTGTACAAAGGTGCCTGCTAAGAGGACAGGGTCCTGAATTCCAGCTGTGGTGCTGCTTGACAAGCTGTGTGCCTCAGCTATGGCCTAACAGAAGGCTGCCTTCTACCCAACTATGAGGCCTGCATTTACCCAGAGCAGGCCCTTTTTCTGTTTTTTCACAAAAACACTCATTGAGTAATGTGTTCCAACCCAACTGTCCACTGGAGAAGTGTCTAACAAGAGACAAATTCATTCTCAGGTACTTTGCAAAGGCCAACCAAGGCTATGTAATGGTGTGGTTGTTCTATAGTTACTTGTACCCACTTTCAATTACTTGCAAATTAAGGGGCAAGTTAATTTGGTATAGCATGGTTGTAGGGTGGCCAACTGTGGGCCCACACTAAGGGGTTTCCTGCCATGTGTGGCTGTCATGCTAAAGTCAAGACAGTGTCTGCAAACCCAGATGGCTGGTCATCTTACTACTGGAGCTCCCTGGAGTTTGGGCAGCTTTTGACTGTCACTACACAAAGGACTGAATTCTTGATGTTGTCCTTTCCCTTCCCCTGTTGCTTCCTTGCCTTGTGCTGACACTTACATGTCAGGGCACAGACCATGTTGTAGCAGGAAGAATTCTCCCCATACAAAGTTTGCATCTAATGGGGATGTTTCCATGTCAACGCCTCAGTCACCATGGCTGATATGGAAAGTCGCTTCTTTTCTCCCCACACTAATGCTCCTACAGGGGTCGGCTTATCTCCTACTTCTTTACTCTGTGCAGCATCCTGTTCTCTAACCCCCCACCCCCACCCCGCCCCGCATTACCTCAGAGCACCATGTCTCACTTTTTGGATTTCTGGATATAACCAGTTCATTTCCTAATCTGAACCCTCCAAGTTCTACCTCTGACCTTCTGGCTATTGTACAGAAAAGTACTAATATTTTATGGCCAGGTATGGTGGCTCATGCTTGTAATCCCAGCATCCCAGCACTTTGGGAGGCTGAGGCAGGAGGCTCACTTGAAACCTAGAATTCTTTTTTTCCTTTTTTGAGACAGAGTCTCTCATTCTGTCACCCAGGCTGGAGTACAGTGGCGCAATCTTGGCTCACTGCAACCTCTGCCTCCTGGTTCAGGCAATTATCCTGCTTCAGCCTCCCAAGTAGCTGGGACTACAGGCATGTGCCACCATATCTGGCTAATTTTTGTATTTTTGTAGAGATGGGGTTTCGACATGTTGGTCTGGAACTCTTGATCTCAGATGATCCACCCGCCTCAGCCTCCTAAAGTGCTGGGATTATAGGCATGAGCCATCATGCCCTGAGTTCTTTTTCTTTTTTTTCTTCTTCTTTTATTTTTTTCAGAAGTATGTGATAAGAGAATCCAGAAGTTCAAGACCATCCTGGGCAACATATTGAGACTCCATCTCTACAAAAAGTAGTAAAAATTAGCTGATGTGTGCCTATAGTCCTAGCTACTCAGGCGACTGAAGTGGGACAATTTCTTGAGCCCAGGAGTTAAGGCTGAAGTGTGCTATGATTGCATCACTGAACTCCAGCCTGAGTGCCAGAGCAAGACCCTGTCTCTCTAACAACAACAACAGAAAAACTAAATGAAAATATTTT